AGCAAATAATTTGCTTTACATTTTTTGGAATTGCATTGAATTCACAGAAGTAGACAATAGAGCAAAGGCAGATATTAAAATAATAGGGAGGGGAAAGACCCTGACTGGTCCTCTTATTTTAAAAAGAGTGACAAAGTTACACTCAAAGCATCCTGAACACTGAGCATCTACTGTTTTCCCAGCTTACGATCCATGCATGTCCCCTGTTCTTTTTCCTCAATTAGTTTTTATCTTGGGGTTTGGAAAACGGGGAATAGGGAGATGGAGATTTTACTTGAAGGAGATAAGGTAGTAGAGGACTTTCTTTGATATTTAACAGTTTCAGTGAATTGATTAGCTAGATAACTGTCATCCTTAATATTTCAAAAGACCTGAAAGCAATTGCACTGACACAGGTTAGAAATTTGAAAAGGGGCACCTGTGTGACACAGTCGGTTAAGCATCTGCCTTGGGCTCAGGTCATGACCGCAGGGTCCTGGGATCGAGCCCCACGTCTTTGGACTCCCTGCTCAGTGGGGAGCCTACTTTTCCCTCTTCCTATGCTGCTCCCCCGGCCTGTGCGTGCTCTCTCTGTCAAATAAAGAAATAAATAAAATCTTAAAAAAAAAAGAAATTTGAAAAATTGGCTCTGAAGGCAGGTTAGACAGAATTTTATTACTTCCACTTAAACTGCTAGGAGATAGCAAGAGTGGTTTCTGGGCTGGATGCCCAAGATAAAGGTGTGCAGAGTGGGATTGGGAGTGATTGTCATTTGTAGCTAAATCCTGGGAACACAGTAGGTAACAGTGTTGCCCAAGAAATGGAAGGGAGCCTATTTATGCATTTAAATTAAATTAAATTAATTAATTCATTTACTTATTTATAATTTTTTATTTGAGTATAGTTGACACACTATGTTACATTAGTTTCAGATGTACAACATAGTGCACTATCTATGCATTTTAAAAATCCAAACACCTTTTCTTCTATTTCTACCTGTTCCATTTAATATTGCTGTGTAAAAAACCACTCCACATTCAATGGCATAAAAGGACAACCATTTTATTATGCTTATAGATTCTGTGGGTCAGGAATTCAAGCAGGTCACCCTGGGGATGGTTTGTATCTGCTCCCCAAAGCCTGGGCTGAACTTTTTGGTCATATGTAACTAAGGACCCCTTTCTCTGGCTTTCAACGACATCTTCCTCAGTTTCCTTTGTGCCCTTGGTGCAGCCTCCTCGAGGCCTTTTAGATTTCTGACATTGTCTTTTAGGATCCTCTCCCACCCTTGCTGCTTCACATAGTCTCAAAGCCAATGCCACATGTTTTACTCTTGTTATGTTCTTTTGTTATGTTTTGTTATGGTATTTATCTACTTCCAGGTAACAAAATCTGTTCCAGTTACTACTGTCATGTAATAAATGCTTACTCTTACTATTACCATGTAATAACCTTTCCCTTCCACCTCTAGAAGTCACTGGTAGAAAAATAAAGAAAAAAACTCCAGGTTACCTATGGTGGGAGAGTGCAAAACAGAGAGGAGAGATGACTAGTTAGTGAGGATAAGGTGGGAGAACTGGAGGCAATGGAGTTGTCCAGAACCATGTGGTTATCCTCCTAGTCACTGATAGCTTTCCTTGGGCTTTCAGTGTCAGGGCCATGGCATGATACCCTCAGTATAAGAGCCGGTGAACTGTGGCTCAGTTGTTGGAGCCTGTGATCAAGTACTACTAGTAGTGTAAACCTAGTGATGTAAAACAAAAGCCATTTTATTGCATTATTATGATCAAAATTTGGAAAGAGCAAGTGCAGATGGCTTGTTTCTGCTCATGATTGCTAAGCTGGGAAGACTCAAAGGCTGGAAGTTAATCCATGGCTGAGGACTGGAATCTTCTGAAGGCCCATTCAATTACATGTCTGGCTGTTGGTGCTGGCTGCAGCTGGGACCTTATCTGGAGTTGTTGGTCACAACATCAATACTTGGTTTTCCCATGTGGCTGCTTGAGCTTCCCCAGAGCATGGTGGCTGGCATTTAAAAAAGCAAGCATTGCAAGCGAGAATCACAAAGAACCTGCAGTGCTTTTGCAACCTTCCTCAGAAGTCACCTGGTGTGGTTTCTGCTATATTCACAAGTTGGCTCAGATTCCAAGGGTAGGGAACATAGATAGACATGCCTCTAGTTGGGAGGAGTATCAAAGTCTCATCATTCAAAGGAGCATGTGAGGTGGACAATGTTGTGTTGCAGCCATTTCAGGAAAATAATCTGCTGCACTGTCATATACCAAAAACAGCAAGATGACCTATTACAAATATAGAACATTCTGTGCTTACTGGTGGTATGTCAAATCCTTTACCATAAAAAAGTAAATAGCATAGATATCAGAGGATTAGAGACTAAGTCTGTGGAAATAAAGACAACTCTGTAAACCTGTCATGAGAATCTTAGGCTCAGAACTTGGGGTCTCTAAAGTCAACATCTATTTCTTCTTGAATAATTCTTCTGGAATTACCTTCTTCCTCCTGCATTGTAGTCTTAATAAATACTTTGGTTCATGGTAAATTTTCTGTTTGGATTTATCTGAAAATATCCTCATTACCTTCTAATTCCTGAATGCTTGTTTAGCTGGGTAAACAATTCTAGGTTGACATTTCTTTAGTACTTTGGAAATATTTTTTCAGTAATTCAAAAATACCATTTTCATCTTCTATTTTCAATTGTCAAACTGTGACATCTCCTTTCAGTCTAATCAATTCTTTGCAGGTGTTTTGTCTCTGCTTGCTTTCAAAATATTTTTGTCTTTGATCTTCTGAAATTTCAGTATAATGTGTCTAGGTTTAGATTTCTTTTATTTACCCAGCTTGAGATTCATGAGCTTCCTGAATCTGAGAGTTTCTGTTTCTTCATCAATTCTGGATAATATCTATTATCCCTTAAAATACTTCCTCTTCCTTGTTCATTTCATTTTTTTATGTTCTTGGAATTCTAATGTTACGTATATTAGATATTCTATCCCTACCATTCTATCTTCCACATCTATTACATTCTATCCATACTTTCCATCTCTTTGTCTCTCTGATCCTCATTCTGGGTAATTTCTTTGTACCTACCTTCCAATTTGCTTAATTTTTTCTCAAGTTGTGTCTAAGTAATGTTTAACCCATCTACTGTGAGTTTTTTTAATGAACAATTTTGTATTTCTAGATCTTTTATTTATTTATTTTTCAATTCTATCAGATAATTTTTTTGGTATTTTCTTAATCTTTGCTTGGTTTTCTACTCCCTCACTTATTTTTTTCTACTCCCCACTTATTTTTAAAAGCATTTAAGGAATATTTACTTTATATTCTTTATCTGATGACTTCAAAACCAGAAGCCTATGAGATCAAAGTTCACTATCTCCTGTTTCTGTCCTTACTAAAGGTTTATTGTGTGTTTCTGTTTGTTACCTTACGGGCTTAAAAACCCAAACCTTAGGCTTCTGCTATATGTAAGTGCTCTCAGTAGAGATGAGCCTTCAGCACTGGCATCCTACTCTGGATTCTCCATTGTTTTTTGGTCTCTGGGGATTTCCTTTTAGCTGAGCGCAAGGTTACTTGCTGTATTTTATCCAGCATTTTTAACTGTTCTGTCATTATTGATATAAATAAAATAAAAGTGATTTCACCCCTAACTCAGTCCAATCTTATTTCTATTTGTAGCTTCACTGATACATAATCTTTTAACCATTTTCCACATACACTATGTATGTATATGTAAATATAGATAAAAATACACAGACATGCATACATAAATGGGATGTAGAATATTATTTTGGATTTTTTAATCATGTGTTTGGTAGCTTTTCATCTGAGTACTTAAAAATGGTTGCATCATCATATCGCTTGCATTTTTATAACCGAATTAACTAGTCCATATTGATAGAAATTCAAGTTTCCAGTTTTTTTTTCTTTTTTCCTACATGAGCTATGCTTCAGTAAACTTCCTTGAGCTGTGCCAAGCTCATAGAAATTATTTGATAAATATATTTTACATGAATATATATGTATATATATAGCTTGGTGCACATATGGAAATATTATAGACAGACTCCTAAAAGTGGATCTTCTGGGTCAAAGGGTAAGCACATTTAAAATTGCGGTAGATGACCATTAAATTGTCCCCCCTAAATTTGTGCAAGTCTTTATTCCACCAGCAATGAACAAGAGTGAATGTTTTCTCAATCTTCTCTAACAGGATATAGTATCAGTCTTAAAATTTTATATAATCAGATCGAAGAAGACTGCTATTTTTATCTGCAATTAAAATAATCTTTTTTTTTTTTTTTTCCCAGTGAGGTGGAACATCTTTTCCTAAATTGTACCTCTAGTAAGGGCCCAGGTCATGTTAAGCTTCTGATCTGGGGACCATACTTAAGAGCTACTACTTTACTTCTTTCCATCTCTGGTTTCTAAAACAGGTTTAAAGCTGGTTATTTGTTAAAGGTCTCTTGTTAACAGTTACAAGGAAACATTAAAGGGATTACATTGTTATTGGTCTTGATCTTAGAAGCTAGATGGTAAAAGAAAGGCCACCCACACTTTGATTCTCCCAAGGGCAGGGCTGGCCCCCACCTCCTACATGGAATCCCAGCAGAGCTCTAGTTTTCCCTACTGTATCGGGGGGGGGGGGGCGCTGCAAGGATTGAAAAAATTAAGCTCTGAAGTGACACCGCAATAAATCATGGCTACTTTAACTTCATTTCGTATCATATCGCTCGTCTGCCAACCACTTGGATCCGCACAGACACAAGAGGTCGGCTCATTAAGAGTCTGCGTGAGAATAGACTGGCAACGGCTCCTGCGCAGCTCAGAATGAGGCTCCAGGTGAAGTTTGCGTGTAACTTCAGAGGCCAGGTGAAACGTTCGGAAGCAGTGGGCAGAGTCAGAGCCCCGCGTGGGCGTATGCTTCCGGCCACGTGGCTACGCGCATGCCCAATGGGAAAGCTTGACGTCAGCCCCGCTTCCTCACCCTGGCAACGGGCGGGTGACTACTTCCGGTGCTGTGAGGGCTCGGGGCTGACGCGGGTGAGTGTCCCTCTTTCTCACGCTGTCCGCGCCGCTGCCGGTGCTGCGGCGCTGCCTCTGTCCAGCCCCATACGCTCTCTGGGACATCCTCTTCGGGGCCGGGAGGGGGCGGCGCGCAGGATGCCCACTGCCTGGGGCGGTGCTGAAGGAGCGGATCCGGGACGTCCCTCGACCCCTCGGTCGCGCGTGGCGCCTGTGCGGGTCCCCGAAGCCTTGGCTTCAGCTTGGCAGTCTCATTCCCTCTCAGGGGAAGGGACTGTCTGTGCGGGCAGTCCTCGCTGTCCTTCACTCACTTTGCAGTCGCGGGCTGCGGGGTTCTCCGAGTCGGAGGCTCGCAGAGCCCCAAGGGTGTGCGCCCTAGTCCTGCGTGGCCGGCTGGGGCCAAAGCAGCCCCGTGGTGTTATAGCTAGCGGCCTGGTTATAGAGTCTCTCAGGACATTAGCATTTACTGCTTAGGGCGCGGAGGAGGATAGGACCAAGAAGATGGAGAAGGAGCAGCTGGAGAGGAGGGTGGAAAACAGGAGCTGGAGGTGCCCTGGAAATAGAGGGCATCGTGTTTCCGGAAGGAGGGAGTAACTTGACTCGCCTCTGTAGGGGAGGGGAAATGAAAAGGTATTTTCGGGACCATGTGACTGAGATCCTTGAATACTAAGCTAAGGAATTTTTATACGCTCGGGAGTTTAATAATTTCCTTTTTTGTTTGTTTTAAATAACCCCCCCCCGATTTGTAAAACGCAGTGCGTGCTTATTAATGAATATCTGGAAAATGCGGTAATAATTAAAAAGAGATCACCTGTAATTTCACCAACCCATCATTTTGATCCCTTTCTAATTTTATAGCATTTTAACCTATTTATGATCATAGTATGTGTAAAATATGATTATAACCAAAAAGTATAATTTTTATACATTGCATCCATTGCATAGATTGATCTTTTATTAAGATATAATTCACATACCATAAACCCACCCTTTTAAATTGTAAATTTCAGTAGTTTTTACTATATTCATAAAGTTGGGCACCTATCACCGCAAATTCCAGAACATTCTCATCATCTCCAAAAGAAACTACTCATTACAGTCACTTCCCATTTGATCCCCCAGTCCTTGGCAACCACTAATTAGATACTCCCCTCCCCTTGTTCCCCCAGTCCCTAGCAGTCACTAATCTACTTATGTGTCTGTAGATTTTCCTATTCTGAACGTTTCTGGTAAATGGAATTATAGAATATGTGGCCTTTTGTGTCTGCCTTCTTTTACTTAGCATAATGTTTTCAAGGTTCATGCATGTTGTATTTTGTATCAGTACTTCATTCTTTTTTATGGCTGAGTAATATTCCATTATAGGAATATGCCACATTTTGTTTATCCATCATCAGTTAATGGACATTTGAGTTGTTTAATCTTTTTTACTATTATGAATAACTCTGCTGTAAACATCCATGTACAGGTTTTTGTGTGGATATGTTTACATTTCTCATATATCTAGGAGTGGAATTGCTGGGTCATATGGTAACTCTGTTTAGCTTTTTGAGGAACTGCCAGATGCTTTCGAAAGTGGACTGCACCAGCAGGATATGAGAGTTCTGATTTCTCCATATCCTTGTTAACACTTATTATCTGTCTTTTGAGTTATAGCTGTGATGTTGGTACCTCACTGTGGTTTTGATTTCCATTTCCCTTTTGGATGGTAGTGTTGAGCATCTTGTCCTATGCTTATCAGCCCTTTGTGTATCTTTGGAGAAATGTCAATCCAATGCCTTTGCTCATTTTTATATTGAATTTTTTAAAAACTTTGATATTGTATGAGTTTTTTATATAGTCCGGATACAAATCCCTTATCACATATACTGTTTGCAATGTTTTTTCCATTTTCTCTCATTTTGCGGGGTTTCTTTGTACTTTTTTGAATAGTGTTCTTTGAAGTACAAACATTTAAACTTTTGGTGAATTCTAATTTATATTTTCTTTGATTGGTTGTGCTTTTGGTGTCATATCTAAAACAATTGCCAAACCCAAGATTATGAAGATTTACTACTATATCTTTTCCTAAGAGTTTTACAGTTTTAGCTCTTACATTTAGTTCTTGATCTATGTGGATCAAGGAATAGGTAGGTAGGAATGGGTAGGAATCCAGTTCATTCCTTGTATGTGCCTATCTGTTTTTTTCCAGCAACATTTTTTGAAAAGACTATCCTTTCCCTATTTAATTTTTTTTTTAAGGGGGGCAGAGGAAAAGGGAGAGAGAGAGAATCTCACAACTCTGAGATCATGACCTGAGCCAAAATGAAGAGTTGGATGCCTAACTGACTGAGCCACCCTTGCACCCCTATCCTTTCCCTGTTTAATGGTCTTGGCACCCTTGTTGAAAACCAATTGACCATAAATAATATAGGTTATCATTTTTTTTTAACTATTTCTCTACGTTGGACATTTAGGTCACTTCCAGATTTTTGTTTTTCTAAATTATCCTGTGTTAAACACAGCATAACAGGCATAAGGCTTTTCTGTTTTTGAAGTTATTTTGGTAGAAAGTGTTCTCAGAAGTGAAATTACTGGGTCAAAGATGAAATGAGTGTGTTTTGGAGCTCATTGAATGAGGCATTAAACCTTCAATGTCAAGATGTTAAGAGCAACAGAATGCTTCTTTATTCATCAGTTGCTATAGCTTAAGGGCTGGATTTCTATAAAAGCCTTTTGCTGTAAGATGGATGGATTCCCTGACTTATTCTTTGACTGCTTCTAAGAGACTAAGTAAATCTAGAGTGAAAAACTTCAACACCAGGGGCAAACAGGACATGTCATAATTTTCTAAATGGTATAAAGAAAAAAAAGTGTCATCACATGCAGTAGGAAAATAAAAGTCTTTGAGAGAACTGGGGTTGAAATTTAGACCTTAAATCAGTGCCTTGAAAGTCCCTGGAGCAAAAACGATGTTTTATTCTTAGTTTCTCTTCTGACCTTGATAATCAGGTTAATTTGCATTCATCTTAGTCTCAGAGATGGCAAACTTAAATCTGTGTTTAGTAGATAGTACCTGGTTAAAAAAAAAATGCAAAAGGCTATTAGGAGAAAATCACGTTTCCTTTTCATTTTGCCCCTCATTCTCCCAGTTCTCCTTAGGGGTATCCATGGTACTATTGTTACTTGTGTTTGTATAGACTAGTTCATACATAGATTATCTCTGGAAAAATAGTATATACAAAATTAAACATTTTAAAGATTTTGATACTTCCTGACATTCATTTTCAAAATGGTTACTTACATCAGTTTATGGTGGCAATACAGTGCTAGTTAGGAAGATTCCATTTTTGTTTATATTTCTTTGAATATTCTTTCCTTAATATTGGATATCCAGTTTATATTTCCTCTTGCGTGTATTGTCTGCTCTTGTCTTTTGGCATGCTGTTCGATTTTGATTGGAGTTGTCCTTTATGAGATTTATTTTGGCAGCCTTTTGTAGTTGGTTGTTTTACAATAGTCTGGATTTGGGGAGAAAAGTTAAAATGCTGTTTGTAACATGCTAAGCGGTATGTGAGCTGAACAAGGGTTGAGGCAGTAGGGAAAAGGAAGTTAAATGCTTGAGGGAGAAATTTATAAGATTTGGAAAGTGCGTGCAGTCCAAGATGACTTCCAGGTGAGTTAGAAAGGGATTAGTGCTATTAAAAATAAGGAGTGATGTGGAAAGAAATAGATTTCTGTGGAAAAATGAGATTGTTTTGGGTAGATAAACAAACAGGGTTCTAGAGGGGAAGGGTGGGGGGATGGGTTAGCCTGGTGATGGGTATTAAAGAGGGCACATAGTGAATGAAGCACTGGCTGTTATACGCAAACAATAAATCATGGAAAACTACATCAAAAACTAATGATGTAATGTATGGTGATTAACATAACATAAAAAAAAAAAAGAAAAAGAAAAAGTGAAGAGGATCCAGGTTGAGCTAGGCTATCCTGGAGACTGGCCGCTAGAGCTCAAGAGACAGAAGATAGAGTGTTACAAATAATCTGATTTACTGAGAGAGGATTGTTTTAAAAGGTTGGCAGTGGATGAAATTGCTGAAGGAGACATTTGAGAATAGGCCTGTGGACAGGGAGTCATGTAAGAGGACAAAGTTGAGAAGGATCAGAGGGGTCATAAAGAGCTGGGATGGGAGATTGGCGTGCTTGCCACAAAGATCAGGGATCTAGAGAACAAAGGTTGCAAGTAGCAGAGTAAGAAAAGGTCATTAAGTTTGGTAACTTGGAAAAGATACACTTATGGGAAAAGATAGTTTTTGGGAAGCAGGAAATTTGTCATTTTCCAAACAGCTTTATTAATTTATTAATTTATCCACTTAAAGTGTACAACTCAGTGGTATTTAGTATATTCAGAATTGTGCAACCATCACTGCAATTTTAGAACATTTTTGTTGCCACCAGAAGAAAGCCTGCCCCCATTAGCAGTCACTCTGCAGTTCCCCTTTAGCTTCCCAGCCCAAGGCAACAATTAATCTACATTCTGTCTCTTTAGATTTGCCTACTCTGGATATTTCACATAAATGGAAACATACAGTATGTGACCTTTTATGTTTGACTTCTTTCACTGTTTTCAGGGTTCATTCATGCCATAGTATGTATCAGTACTTATTATTTTTTTATGGCTAGTTAATGTTCTGTTGTATGAATATACCACATTTTGTTTAACCATTATTGGTTCATGGACATTTGAGTTGTTAGCACTTTTTGACTATTATGAATAATTCTGCCATAAACATCCATGTACAATTTTTTTGTGTGGACATGTTTGTAGTTCTCTTGGGTGTATATACCTACGAGTGAAATTACTGGGTCATATGCTAACTCTGTGTTTAATTTTTGATGCAGCTATTGCAGAGGATGGACAAGTTGCCAGTGTTTTAAAAACAATAAAATGAATTTGAATATCATCACTAGTAGTAAGTTGCAAAATGTCCATTTTCAAGCATATTATTCAGAAATAAAGGCATTATAAAAAATGAGCTATACAATTGTTTTCTGTTGTGTAAAAACTATAACATGCTTATACATTTCCTTTCATTGGAAACCTTGTGTGTTGAATGTTACCTCAAAGCTTAGCTGAAATGTTCGACATTTTTCTTGCAGAACAGTATGTTGATGTAAGTATGCTTCATCAATTTCAAATAATGATTTGTAATAATGAAGTGAGTACAAATTTGATAAAAAATAATCCTAGGGATATTTGATGTTAATCTATAGTAATGATTTATTTTTTACTCCTTAGTCTGAACTGTAGAGATCAAATACTATGATTTTTTTTTCTGAACTGTAGAGATCAAATACTATGATTTTTTTTAATTTGAATTACCTGTAGTTCGTGCGGCCTCAGAAATTCAAGATCCAGAAAAACAAAAGCAAAAACAGAAAAACAAAACAAAAACTTTTTGGGCCAGTATTGTTGGTTGGCTATGTTTTTGTCCATTCCTGCCCCAGGTGGGATGAGTGTTGAGAACCTTCAGCATATGGTATTTTCCCTCTTACTGAAGTTTTTAAGTGAGATCTCATAGGCTTGCTCTATTTTGGAACTTGGATTTAGCTAGTTACTTCATGTTTCCATAAATAAATAAATGAATAAAAAAAGTTTTTTTGGAAAGTAATATGTTCAGATTTTTCAATATTGAAAAGTATAAACAATAAACAATAAAATTTCCATTCCACTTTTGTCCATCAGTCATTCAAATCTTCTTTGGGTGACCACTATTATTTTTGCGCATATTCTTCTAGATTTGTACTTTGCATATATACTTAGCTGTATTATTTTTTCTCCCCTCCCTCAAAATATGGCATTGCATGTATTTCTGTACTGTGCCTTTTTAACTTATATATCTGTAAGATTAGTCAATCTATATATGTATATCAAGAATGTTCTCATTTTTTCCAGTGGCTGCTTTTATTTTAACCACTTACATCAAGACATATTGTTGGTTCATATCTTTACTATTACAAATAATCCTTCAGTGTGCATTTGTAATTTTGATTGACTGCCAGATTGCCCTTGTTGAGTTTTGTCATCTTATGCTGCTTACTAACAGTGAATGAGAACTCCTGTTTCTCAATAGCCTCAAAACGTGATATCATTTTGATGTTGGTCAACCCAAGTTAAAAAATGGCATTTGGGTGTAGTTTTATTTTGTATCTTTCTTTTGAGTGAGGTTTAGCATCTTTTGATCTATTTAAACTGTTATACAATTTTTCTGTTAACTGGGATTTGCCCATTTGCCCTTTGTTGTCTTATTTTTAGTCATTTGTTGGAACTCTTTATTTATTAGGTAGATCAGACCTTTAATGGGTTTAGAGTTAAACAAAAACTAATGTTGGAGTAGAAGTTGCTTCATTTCTAATTGAAATCAAAACATTCCACTAACCATTGGGAGTTGAGGCCAGAGTTGTACATTGCATAGCCTGTCTATTTAAGTTTCTTTCCCAGTCCTGCAGAACTTTGGGGGCCAACATTTTTGGAGGAGTTTATGGAGATGACATGATTTTCTAAATATATTTCAGATAGTCTCTGAGGGATGGTAGATTGCTCAAGAAATAGCATATTAATTTATCTTGCACATTTTATTTTTTTCAGACAAGCCTGGAAGCAATGTTTTTAAATCTCTCATATACATGAACATGCCTATTACATCAACCTTATTCATTGTTAAATATAGATGTTTCAGTTTCTTATTTATGAAAAAGTGTATCTGATAACAATGAGTCAGTAGCTTGAAGTTTAATAACCCATAATGCTTGGATATTTTTTCATTTTAACTGAAACTCTTAATTTTCCAAGGCCTGAGTTTTCATTCAACCTATGTTTGTGGGACTAGTGGGCCCCAGCTGATTTCATGGCCTGGTCAGACATGATGGCATGTATAGGCTGGCAGATGGACTGCTAATCATTTCAGTTCCACTTCGTCGATGACACATGAATACATAGTATTCAAAGTCAAATAACCAAAGAGAAATAACCAAATAGCCAAAGTCAAATAAAAGTAATTGAGGCAGATCCTTGTGAAGTCATTAGAAGAAGATCCATTCTTAGAAAGACAGCTGCCACCACAAAACAAAAACAAAAGCAGGTATTTCAGTTCACTTTTATTTAATCAACATCAGCACACTTTTGTAATCAAAAGTTTCTTCCTGCATTTGTGAATATATGTTAACATTTTAATACAAGAACATATATATATTTTGATTTAAAATTATTTGTCCTTTAAATGAAGTGTTATATAATAAAAATTCAATGGACTCTTTTTTTTACTTTAAATTTTTTATTGTTATGTTAATCACCATACATTACATAATTAGTTTTTGATGTAGTGTTCCATGATTCATTGTTTGTGCATAACACCCAGTGCTCCACGCAGAATGTGCCCTCTTTAATACCCATCCCAGGCTAACCCATTCCCCCACCCCCTTCCCCTCTAGAACCCTCAGTTTGTTTTTCAGAGTTCAATGGACTCTTTTTGACCAAGAATTAAAAGAAGTTAAAATGCCATGTTGCAGTGCTTCTCAGACCATCTCTGGTGTAAAGGACCCACTTTAAAAAATTTTCAGTCCGTTGTTGACTATTTCTTTTACAAAATGCTAAAGAACCAAAACTAAACCCCAAAAAACAAGCTCCAAACAAAACTGAAATATGAAAGATTAATGGAATATTATGCAGCCATCAAAAATTTGAAATCTTGTCATTTGCAACGATGTGGATGGAACTAGAGGGTGTTATGCTAAGTGAAATAGTCAGAAAAAGACAATTATCATATGATCTCACTCATATGTGGAATTTAAGAAACAAGGCAGAAGATCATAGGGGAAGAGAAGAAAAAAATGAAACAAGACGAAACCAGAGAGGGAGACAAACCATCAGAGACTCTTAATCTTAGGAAACAAATTGAGTATTGCTGGAGGAGAGGGAGGGTCAGGGGATGGGGTTGAGAGGTGATGGATACTGGGGAGGGTATATGTTGTAATGAGCACTGGGTATTATATAAGACTGATGAATCACAGACCAGTACCTCTGGAACAAATAATACATTATATGTTAATTAATTGAATTTAAGTAAAAAAAGAATAAGAAAGATAAAAATAAAAGCTCAGTTTTATTACATTTAATAGGTAAAGTTGCTTCAAAAATATAATTAAAAAAAGGAAATAGAAAAAAATTATAAGTATACACATTGTTGAAAATGTGTATAGAAACCAATTAATATATTAATAAAATAAGTCTCTTGCAGACTGGTAACAAGCCCTGGTCTGCAGACCACACTTTGAGTCCACCACTTTTTTGGATTAGGCAGCTAAGTCACTTTTTATGTGACTATTTATGTTTTATATTGGCAAAGAAAGACTTGCGTCCCTCCCTACTTCTCAGTTTAGAATAAGGTCTAGATTTTACCTACCAGTGTGAATCTAGGTGTCTTACTGTGATAATCATTTTATGGTATGTGTGTATCAATTGTTTTGAATACCATAAACTTACACAATGTTATATGTTCATTATATCACAATAAAGCTGGGGGGAAAAAAGTAAGCTGCAATCTCGGCTTTACATCAAAGCTTGGTGATATTATCAGCATCACCTGTGATTCTAGAATGTCCCAGAGATTATTAGCATTTGGATTAAAGGGAGTAGAAAGTGATATTGAAGTTATATTGAGGTTTTCTTCAGTGCAAATACAATGAAAGATAGAATATCTTTGGACTCAGTATGAGGTCTTTTTACAACAGTTCTTTTGTTTATATGATTTTAAGCAAGTACTGTCTGTGGACAGAGATTTCAGTTTTAACCTTTTCGTATTCTTTGTATTACCCAGTTAAATAACTTTAAAATTAGGTTTTTGGAAAGATATCTTTGCACAAATTTGTATAAGTTACGTGTGTGTTAGTGAAAGAAATGTATACCATCTTTGCCTGTTTTTCTTTAGGGCAATTCCTCTCCTGCAGTTACTTTTGGATGGAAGTATGCACTTTTCCCAATAGAAGATGGTAATCTCGGAGAATGACCATGGAGAAGGGGATGAGTTCTGGAGAAGGGCTGCCTTCCAGATCATCTCAGGTTTCGGCTGTTAAAATAACAGTCAAAGAGTTGGAAACAAAGCAGTCCCATAAGGAGAAGCGAGGCGGCTTTGTGTTGGTACATGCAGGTAAGCTCTCAGTGGGCGAGTTGGAAGATGAAAATAATTTTGATTTTTTTTTTCTTGCCTTGAAGTATACTGAGAATTGAATTTCACATCTGGGGGAGGCAAACTGCCAGAGAGGAGTTGGAACCAAAGAGATTGACTTCAATATAGGTCTCTCCTACTTCCTGCTTGGAAGATCTTGTAATGACAGCTCTTCCTATGTCTTCTTCACTTCTCTACCCCATTATTTACTTTTACCCCATATAATAGATGCAGTTAGGTAGTGTTAAAATCAGACAAAGTAATTACTTAAACTCTGGTTTGTGTTTTTAAAAATGATGCTGCTGAAAAATTTTATTGACCCCATGTTTGACTATGGCTATTTAATTAATTAGTTAATTTATTTTTAAAAGATTTTGTTTATATATTTTCAGAGAGAGACAGAATTCCGAGTTGGGGGAAGAGCAGAAGAGGAGGGAGGGGGAGAGAGAGAATCTCAAGCATACTCCATGCTGAGCATGGAGCCCAATGTAGAGCTCCATCCCACAACCCTGAGGTCATGATCACAGCTAAAATCAAGAGTTGGGTGCTTAACTGACTGAGCCACCCAGGCGCCCCAACTATGGCCATTGTGGCATACAATTACACAGCCATAGAACTAATTTGCCTTCTTAATGTTACAAGTGAGGAAGAGAGATTAAGCAGCTTTAGCCCCATGGCTAGTTTGTGCTACAGCCAGGTTGAGACACCCGTAAGCGGGCCCTTAGTCCCAGTGTAGTGCTTTTGACAATACAGAGGACCTGGAGAACAGATGCAGTGAAGTTCAACTCCTGGGTCCCTGATCATTGAAGAGTTTGTGTTTCAGAGTAGTGCAGCTCTGCTCAGTTCTGCCCAGCAGGCTTTTCTTTTTTTTTTTTTTTAAGTCATTTTTATTTGCTTGTATTTATCTAAAATTCATGACTTCTGTGAAGGGAGAAGGAATGGCTCGCTCTCCTTTTAACTTTCCTCAGATAGGCAAGCAGGGTGGAATCAAGTTTAACTTTGATGTGGGGTAAGGAGTAGAATTGTTTCTTCTTGTCAAACTGGTGTTGTGCCTGATCATTAACCTTTGGCTATATCTGGACTAGATAACTTGGGAAGTCTTACAGAATCTAATCCAGGAGAATTGGAAAACCCAGGTTCAATTTGCTTTTCTTTCAAAAGATTTTGCAAAGAAATGAGGTAAATTTTAGAAATAACCCAGTTAGATTTAGACTTGGAACCAGAACGCCTGCCTTCTACTACACCATGTTGGTGCATCTTTCATGGTACCCAGTGAGTTATTTCATTCAGAATGAGTGTGTGACAAATGTACAAGAAAGGTTCCAGATTTGTAACATGCAACAACATAGAGCTTTTGATTAGTTGGAAAGCATTGCTTTCTATGACTATCATGATGGGATCCCTCTTCTTTCAGACACTCACTAGATGGGAATGGCTCTTAGATGAAGTTTCTGCTGGGGGCCAGCAGTAATAGGATGAAATCTGGGTCATGGCAGGAAATTATGTGGGTTAAGGTGACCCTCTCCTAAGTTATTAGAAGGTCAGATAGACTGATTATGCAGAAATATATATCTTGCACATTTAAGGGACAAAATTTCAGTTCCTTATCCATTGTAGAGATTTTAAAACTTTTTTTTTTAACTAGAGGAGACTTGCCCAAATGTTAGTCATTTGAATCTTAGATTCTTGATTTTTCCTTGATCTGTATACTACTTATACTATTTACCTAATATTAAAAAGCTCAACACTTTTTACCTTAAAACTTGAAAGATGAAACTTACCTTAAATGAAATGTCAGTATCACTTGTGTGAGGAGAAAATAACTTTAGACACAGTGCAACCAAAACAGTGTAATTAAATCTTAGCTGAATCCTGTTGTATGTCAGTGGCTTAGATTCTGAGGCTACCTTTCCTTTGTTAGATAGAGAAATTACCAAGTGTTAACCAGATATGAAAGACGTACTGTGGCCATGCTGAGACTTTTCCCTTATTCAAAACAGAAGGATTTATATGTTAAATCCTATTAAAACTGTCATCCATACACTAAAGTTACATATTTAGCAGTAGTGTCCCATGATTTGGGAAATACTGCTGAAAGATTGGGGCCCCCAGATCTAAAATGACAGACATGTTAGAGAACCATGAAGAGAGGCCTGTTAAATATTGGTTCAGGCTCTATGAAGTTTCAGAGTTCCCCTGAGAAATAGGATTAGAATTGGGGTGATTATGGATTCCTATTGGTTTGGCATCTTTTCTGCTCTCCTGGGTCCCTGATTGATAGATTCATGAGCCATTTCTTTCTCTGGTCTGAGGAAAGTTAGGGTAAGTTTGTGTCAGAGTCTGTAGACCCACTTGAGGAGCCCTGAGGCTTAGAAATGCAGTTCTTAACCTTCCTTCTGTTAGACCCATATGGGAACTTGGTGGCTGGATGAGGGGGTGATTCAGAGCTCCGTTAAAGAACTTTGTTTAGAAGCCTAATCATCAAGAGACTTTAAGGACCCTTGTCTTGGTTTCTTTCTTATTTCGATTATTCTCAAATCCCTAACTAAGCAGGTATTAATCCTCTTAGGGAAACCCAATTTCAGAGCGATTCTCTTGAGGAAGTTGCTGGGTGTTTAAGAGTTGGGGACCACTGGGATTTCTAATAGGCGGACTACAATATGCTGTCACTGAGGTTTCAGAGACACCATGAGTTATATTACGACAGTGACAGGATATAAAAAGTGTGCATGGGAGCCGTGGTATTTGGTGGTTGTGGAGAGGTGGGATGTAATACTCCTCAACCTCAAATGTTATTTAGAAACTACATAGTTTTCCGAAGTTACTTTTTTTTTTTTTTTAAAGATTTTATTTATTTATTTGAGAGAGAGAGAATGAGAGAGAGAGAGCACATGAGACGGGGGAGGGTCAGAGGGAGAAGCAGACTCCCTGCTGAGCAGGGAGCCCGATGCGGGACTCGATCCTGGCACTCCAGGATCATGACCTGAGCCGAAGGCAGTCGCTTAACCAACTGAGCCACCCAGGCGCCCCCTGAAGTTACTCTTAAGAATTCAGGATTCTGAACAGTAATTTGCCAAGTGGCAGGGGCTTTCTAAAGGTCAACAGAAAGGAACATGAAGGGACTCTGTCCCTGACACCTCCTGGGTTATCGACTCCAGACCAAAAAAACTCCTGACTTTGGAGAGAGGTTTTCAAAAGAAGATGGTCTTGGTGGAGCCTGTTTGGGAATATGAGCTATTTCTAGTGCCTCTGGCAGGAAAATAGCCTTTGAAAAAGGAGGTAAGACATGGCATTAAAAAGGCTTATGGTAGAGAAGGAAGCTATTAGAATTTGAAAACTCCATACATATAGGACAATAGCTTTATTGTCACCAGGAGAGCATCAGTTTGTATGACCTATTTATATAAGTAAAATCTCTGATATTTTAATGATAACAACTGGTTGTTTTTTTTCCACTACAGGTGCAGGTTATCATTCCGAATCCAAAGCCAAGGAATATAAACATGTATGCAAACGAGCTTGTCAGAAGGTATGAACAGAGTGTGTCTGATGGAAACATTTCAGTTTTGGCCAGCAAGCAGCTTTACCTTGAAATTCAAAATTTTAAGGTTTGACTTCTAAGGTAGTCTTTAGTTTGGACCATGAAATTATTTTGCTCATATTTGTGGGGTCTCTTTTTTGTTTTGTTTTGTGTTTTTATTCTCCAAATGATGCTTAGATCTTTCCCTTCCTTTCCCAGATTAAAGTCTATTTTTGGAATTGTGGGCACATAATCATGTATCTTTTAATCTTTGCAAAGGCATTGAGCTCCATTGAAGGAGTAGGGAAAACAGTTAAAAGGCAGCCAATGTGTCTTTCTACGAAGAGAAGAAAATAAATAAAAAATTAAAATGGGTGCTTTTCTTGGGGAGATTATCCTGTGCTTTTTCCTTCTGTTTTTCATTATGTAGTTTGTATCATAGCAAATTCATTGTCATTCCTTAGTTTAGCTTTGCCCTTGTTCTCAGTTGTGCTTTTTTTCTCTTTGGTTTTTGAGGTTTTGCTAAATCGTTGGAAACTGAATGTGGAGGCAGGAATGGACTCAGAAGAAATATTGTTTGTTTTTATTTTGATCTTGACTATATACTCTTTTTGGCAAAGCTTCCATTACTTTTTATGCAAATATAATATTAATGGATATTATATACTGTGTAAATATGGGTCTCTTCCAGCTCTTTTCATTTAAATACCATTTAAAAGAAAGATTATACTTTATTAGAGATCCAAGCTTTTTCTTATGAATGAAATCACATAAATAAATAAGAATATTTTGTTATAGGGATTTTATTGTTTTTGAAATTTATAATAAAGCTAAAAGTTCTCTAAACTATTTCATATTTTTTATCTTAATTTCAAAGTTTGAGATGTTTTCATCGTCTGAAAAAAAATGTTTTCTATAACTATAGTCCTAGAATCCTAATACATTTGGAATGTATAATCAGCCCCCTCAATTTACACAGTGAATGAACTTAAAAGTTTAATGAGGAATACCACTCTTAGCTTTTGAGCATTTTCTCTGTTGACTAAATTGGAGCTTTAATAGTTCATTTAGAAATCAATTTTCCTTCTCTCTCTTTCCATTATGCTACAGAAGTTAGGTGATTTTATGGGCCTTTACTGTCTATAGTTTATATTACAAAAGAACACGATTTGTTTATCTCAATATATCATACAGTAGTCTGCCGTTATCCATGGGGGATATGTTGTAAGACCCCCAGTGGATGCCTGAAACTGCATATTGTAGCGAACCCTATATGTACCATGTTTTTTCCTATATATACATACCTATGATAAAGTCTACCTTATAAATCAGGCACAGTAAAAGATTAACAACAGTAACTAATAATAAAATAAAACAGTTGTACTGTGTTGTGTATAAAAGTTGTGTGTACGTGGTCCCTTTCTCTGTGAAAGTATCTTATTGTACCGTACTCACCCCTTCTTCTTCTTGGGATGATGTGAAATGATAAAATGCCTCTATGGTGGGATGAAGTGAGTGAATGACACAGGCATTGGGGCATAGTGCTAGGCTACTGTTAACCTGATATTATGTCAGAAAGAGGATCATCTACTTCTGGACCGCAGTTAACTGGGTGTAATTGAAATTGTGGATAAGGGGGAACCACTGTAGTACCAAAAATGTTTTTGTCACATGTATGTGTTCATCTAAAGATTCTGAAATATTTCTGTGATTGAGAGTCACTGTTTTTTATAGTTAGGGGTGTGGAGAGTAGTAGCAGTGGGAGAAGATGTTATTAGTTTAGTCTGAGATTCAATTCTGTATGTAAAATATGAATTATGAGGATATTTATTTTTTCTTTCTCTAAATATTTATTTAAATTCCAGTTAACATACAGTGCCATATTAGTTTCAGGTGTAGAATTTAGTGATTCATCACTTACATACAACACCTGGTGCTTATACAACAAGCACCCTCCTTTGAATTATCAGGATATTTAAACCAAACTGAATTCACATAATGTCTATGGCTATTTTGAATTGCCGTGTGATGAAGGAAACCCTTTCACATACTAAATTGCCTGCACTTTGCATTTAGTGGCTAGATTTTATTCATTGTCTTAATTTGAATGATAAGTGAACTATATCATGAATTATCCTGAATATAAACCCTTGCTTGTTTTAAATCTAAGTAGGTTATGTCTTGAAGTATGGAATGGAACTAGTGATTAATTTTTACTAACTCTAAATGTCTCCTATACTTCTTTAAGGCTTTGGAAAGTTTTTGGGTATGTTTGGGAAGTTGTGGTTTTACAGTGAATAATCTCTCTCCTTGGTTTCATAGGCAATTGAAAAGCTACAGGCTGGTGCTCTTGCAACAGATGCAGTGACTGCAGCTCTGGTGGAACTCGAGGTATTTCTTTTCTATGTTTTATTTAAAATATTTGTGAGTTTATGTTCATTATTCTTAAATGACATGAAAGTGTTGAGTTAGTTAATCATCACTTATATGACCAGTGTTTCCCAACTGTATTAACAAAGTTATGAAGAAACCTGTGATATATTATTAGGTTGTTTTCACTGGGGACGTCTCTGAATAACATAAAAGTTGATTAAATCCCTCTTCCCCACCCCTTTTTGTGAGTTTCATGAATACAAAAGTTATTGGTGTTTGGATACCTACATTTTCTTATGTTTAATAGGAAAATTCCTGAAGTTAACTCCCCTTCCTCAAAAGTAATACATGTTCTCTTGTTTAGGAAACAAAAAATTACAGTTGTCTAGAAGTGTCTAAAGAAGAAGGGGAAGTTTCCTCATAAACCTATCAATTAGATTTGTATCCTGAAGCCATGCTGTGTGAAGTGTGTCTTGTCCAGTGTGATTATTAAGTTGGTTTCCAGTTAACTGAAGACATTGAGGAATTCAGTGGGGAGGCTCTCAAGGTCGCTATACTTTTGTACTCTATATTGAGGGAATGGAACTTTGAGGATGAATTTGTCCTGGAGATTATTGAGGCCTTCGGAAGACTGACTTTTGTTGTTCAAACTTAGAGAAGATAGATTTGTGTCAGTCTGTTTAGAGGATTATAGTGAACAAATAGTTTTCTGGTTGAGAAGACTGCTTGGGGAATCAAGATATGAAGATAAACCAGTGATGAGTTTGAGGTAAGAGGTGGATGGAGTGGGTCTTTCCAAGTTGACTGGATTGTGGCCCTTTGGTTTAGGCTCTCATATCAGAGTACCTACCCAGTTATGCCAAGCCTTGCTTTTCCCTATGAAAATTGCTCAGGAGTTGACCAGAAGCCTTGGCCGTGTTTTCTGTATATTCCCCTGCTTAGTTGTGGAGCTATGCTTTAGATCATGCTTTGTAGATTTTAGTCTCTCCTGTTAATGCCTTCAGATGGGTCCAAGTGTAGTCGAGGAAGGTGAACATCTATGATGGGTACAAGTTCTTTTGTAGTTTGGTTCCTGAGACATCTGACTTGGGATATATGGTGCCTCCTGTTTGTGACTGATACATCTTACACCAGCTCTACCAAGTCCTTAGCCCTGGGCATCTCACAGATTCTCCTTTACTCAGTTTTTTCATTTATAATATGGGGGTAATTCCTATTTCATAGAGTTCTGAAGATTGAGTTTTAACATATGACAAGCACTTAGGTCATTGTTTTACACATAGTAAGCACCCCTGAGAAGTTAGTAATTATTACTGTTATGAAGTGCTTTGGAATGATATATATGAGCTGAATATTTATGGTGACTATGAATGACATGTTTTTACAATGCCAGGAAAAGATTAACTATATAGTGTGGATGAAAGGAGAAAAGTGCTGCAAGAAAGAAGATTGATGTACTTACCAGCAGATCTTACCTTTACTCAAAACACACAAGGAAAGCTTCATCTAACTTAATTAAATTGTTAATTGCAAATTACTCTCCTTTGTGCATAAGAGGATGTCCTGAGGTTATCGGTGGTGCATGGATGGAGTCAGTGTGGGTCCAGGGAAAGAAAAAGAAGGTTAATGAGTAGCTGGGAGATAATACTGTAATGGCAACTATGAATATAAAATTGAGTAAAATTAAGTTTTTCTTTTCTTTTCATTTTAGAATAACTTTAATTTTCTCAAGTCATACTTCTATCATGTTGAATATTTTATTACATTTTTCTCCAGTGATCAATCAACCATACTTTGAGTTTACTTATTTATGCTTAAAAATGATTAAAAATACATTCTGGAATAGTAAGTTACTTACGAGTAAGTGAGCTTTATAGTTTTGAATGATGACCTCTGTTTTTAAGAGTGTGGATATGAAGTTCTTTTTTAAACAAACTTGTTCTATTATTTTTTACTGGACTCTGCTATATAGATAATGGGAGCATGAGATACACCTGAGTGAGTTTAGTGTACTTCTCCCTCTCACCCCCATTGTTAAATTTGGAGAAGAATTTCAATTAATTATCTTTAAGAATTCACTTTTATGTGGAATCTTTGAAATATGTTAGTAGTTTAATGGCTAATAAGGCTAGCTGGAAGAGTTTTCCTAAATCTTAAGAATTATGTTGGAAGTCATGCTTATACTGCCCCCTGCAGTTTTGGTTGCTTTGATTCACCACCTTTAAACAAGGTGAGGTTTTCAAGAGTTCATTTGGAGTATTGTAATAGTTTAGGTCAATGGAATGATATAAGGAAATCAGATTCTAATATTTTATGTACTTAGAAAAATATAAGTAACAATATTGAGTCCTTTCAGCTTACTGAAAAGGCCCAGAGAGTTTTGATTTATAATGTGTTATGTTTAATTTGAGAGTACCTACTTTTCTTTGGTTTTGACCAATATATTCAATAAAGCTAAGTCTTGTCCTAATTGCTGATATCATACCTTTTTTTTTTTTTGACTTTGGGATGTACTTTTTTTGAGTAAAAAAAACCCCTTATTTTTTAAACTTAGGCAGAATCCTTGAACACTTTATTAACTGTGGGCTGAAATGACTAAAATGGTTTAATGGTCCTTACTGGCTAGAGGGGGTATCTAACCTTGTATTTAAAAAAAAAAAAATGAGAATTTGCACTTACCCAAATAGTCAAAAGTACACTGATTTCAACTCTGTGCCATAGGGGAGGAAGAGACAAGAAAAGAATAAGAAAAGAAAAAGAAATTTATATGTATAGACACAAGCACACTCATGCAGGTCACCTAGACACATTTTTGAGCTTTTCTTGGAAACCGATCACCTTGTGTAGTTTCATTATCCTCGTTTACCACTACAGACAGTGGTGTCATCCTAAGACTACCACTTCTGGACACTAGAGGGGTGTTTCATTTAAAGAAGTGGGGAGGTGAGTGCCTAAGTTCCTGCCTGTTAAACTGACCAGCTTCTCTCTTCAGGGTTTTGGGAGGGAAGGTGGCCACTCCATTTGAGGCGTGCTCTGCAGTATGGAAATGAAAATGATATGACACCAAAATGCATTTTATTTATCCTCAAAATGTGAGGAGGGAAATGGAAAGGCCAGTTTATAGATCATATTTAATTTATTGTTAAACTGATTTGGTCCCATTGTTTCACTTAGCTATTTATAGCTTTTTTGAGATTGTCCTTAAACTGATGGGAAAGTGGCTTCTATCCATTGGATAGTACAGTTCTGATCTCACTCATAGTGGAGAAGAGGTGTTGTGAAACATCTGATCTTCCTATCTGGGGCTATTCATCTGGAAGACAGTTGTTTTCATGGCTGCTTTTGGAATAGTTTTGGTTCAGGTAGTGGCAGTGGATTGTAAACTCTAGACCATTATTTTGTGCATTTCACATGGGATAGCTTATGATATGAATTTCTTCTTTGAGGAAATTGGCTATAGATCTGGATGAGTCATGATGCAACTGTTAATGTAGAAAATGTGTCACAGATTCCGATGGGAAACAGGCTACTTGTAAAATACTGAAGCTCCCTTTGCACACCGATGTTTTTCTGAAAAACATCTAGTAAGACCTTTCTAATAAGGAATTCCTTTCTGATAAGGAATCAGAGGTGAAATGTGAATGACACACTTTTGAGAGGTTATTTGTAGTCTTGCATGAGAAAACTGATGAATCTGGCTGAGAGTTTGAATATCTTGGTGTAGGCTTTGAGAGATTTTGGTCAATTCATTTTGAAAACTAGTTATTTTGGTAGGTAGAATACTGTGCATTAAAAATAGTGGTAGATATAGCTTTGAAATTTCATATAGTGAAAGGCAGCTTGCACAGGCTCCTTTGTTAAAAATGTTTTGTTGAGTTTATATTATTATAAGTGGACCCTGCAGCTCTTATGCTGACTTGATTTGATTCATCCTTTAAGGCTCTCTGTGATCAGGGAAGATGGTAAGTCATGGTTGAAATTAGTTTATTGTCGAAATGCTTTAACATTTAAAGAACAGATTATATTGGGCACACATTTTTATATCTGTCTGCTAAGCAGTCTGTTGTCTCTGGGTCTCTATATAATCCAATGTAATGCTCGCTTATAAACTCTAGGAAAGTTCTTTAAGAAGTAACTTCTTATAGATGGCTGATAGTTTGGGGTGTGAGAGAAAAAAATATTTGCATTATTGCATATTTCTATTATATATAATATCGTCACACATTTGTCTGTCTCTATATCCTCTTACACCCAGAGCCAGCCCTGCATGCATTTCTTTAAAGCAGGGATCTCCAGAATGTCATCACTGTTTTGTTTTTTTTTTAAGATTTTATTTGAGAGAGAGAGTGTATACACAAGCAAGGGGAGAGGCAGAGAGAGAGAGGGAGAAGCAGACTCCCTGCTGAGCTGGGAGCCTGTTGTGGGGCTCGATCCCAGGATCTGGAGATCATGACCTGAGCTGAAGGCAGATGCTTAACCATCTGGGCCACCCAGGTGCCCCTCCAGAATGTCATCACTGTTGACTAGTCTGTTGTTGGTGCCCCCATCCAGGTCTCTGTGCAGCTGCAGGATTAGGCCACACCCCCTTCTCTTGGGCTGGAATTGTCAATGTGCCACAGGGAGGGAGAGAGAGAGAGCACCTAAGGCCTGCCAGTCCTTGAAATGCTTAGTGGTCATGGAGATGGTATGGATTGCTCCTGGCATATGGGTATAACTAGGATGGAAGGGAACTTTGGGAAAGGCTGATACGCCCCACTTTCTCTTAACAAAACCTGTTCGCAAGTTTGCTTGTAGAGTTTCTTTGTTAGTAGACACTTAACCACATCCTGCCCCCTACCCTACTTCAGTGTTTTATTTTTGTTGTTGTTGTTGAATAAAAAAAGAGGGGCATTTGTTTTATAGGCATTTCTGTTTATTTGGGAGGTTAGAAAAGTATGTAAATAAACGAGCATCTCCATTTTTCTGAACATTTTCTGTTTTGCAGAAATCATCTTTTCATAAGCAGAGGGTAGCTGAGT